ACCCTGGGATCAGGACCTGAGCCGAAGGCAGACGCTTAACGACTGAACCACCCAGGCGCCCCTGGTTTTGAATTTTAACACGGGGTTAAGTCCTCAGTGGGAGACCTGGGAAGGTTACGTCCTTTCAGAGGAAGGAAGGAGTAGTGTTTTTTTGGATTTGGCCTCACAAACTTCCCAAAGTGTCCTTTGTAGGGAGGCTCACAGATGGCCAGTCCCCACGACAGAGGCACTGTCAGGGGTCAAGAGCCTGTCTCATTAACCGCCCCCCCGCCCCAGACCCCTCTTCTGGCTTTCAATGGGCAATAGGAGAACCACCTGGCAGAGATCCAGGCCAGTCCCACAGATGTCTCAAGGCCCACAGAGAGGAGGCCGGCAGCAGCTGGCAGCCGCACCACCCAGCGCGGGAAGAGGCCCCAGAAACCCGAGTGTCAGGGCAGATTCACCTCTGAGGAGGAGCAGTCTTACCCAGCAAGGCTGGGGCTGGCCCAGGGCAAGGTCTCTCTGCAGCCTCCCCCACTAGTGGTGGCTAAATGCACAGACTCTCCAGAAGGAAAATATTTGGGGTACTCTTCACCTGCAAGAGGAGGTGGGCAGGGCTGGAGGTCCTGTGTGACGCCCTTGGGGTACATCAGGAGAGGTGATCCACTCCCTTTGTCAGAAGGCTGAATCTTTCTGCCGAGACTGGCCAGAGGAAGCACTGAAGTGCAGAGAGAGGTTTGTAATACATTTACCAGGGAAGAGACGACCAAGAGTGACAAACCTCAATGTTTATCTCTTCAAGGGCAAAGCAGGAGGCCTCACACAGAAGGCTCAGGAAATTGAGGCCGACCTGTATCTTACAGATTACTTTCCTGGGTTTCCTGGGCCATCAGATGGGTTCTCCCATTTCAGGTCAACTAAAGTGTTCACTTAAGGTCATGGTTTCTACCATTAGGAAAATCTAAAAATGAGAAATACACTGAACTTGAAGGCTGAGCCAGCTGGTTGTCTCTGTCTGGCAGACTGCCAGACTGTCCCTACAGGCTGTGGCTTGTTGCCTGGCGGGGAGATGAGGTGCTATGCTCATGGACAACTCAGCCAAGGGAGGAGACTTCTGGGAAAGGAAGAGGATCTGCACTGTGCCCCCAGCCCCGACTCTGGCCCTGCCCAGCCAGCTGCATTCCACAGCCCCAGGTCCCCTTAGTCATCCATCCGTTAGGATGGTGCCCTGGGCCTGTGTGTGGCCAGAGGCACCAGCAGAACCTATGGGATCAAAGGCAGAGCAGGTGGACCGGATGCCCACGATGGGCAGCCCTGGGTGTCTGCCCTCGTGTCAGTCACGAGGTTCCACACACAGGGGAACCCGCAGAGGGCCAAGGAGAAACAATCGCAGGTGCCGAAAAGGAGGTGCAAGGCCCAGCTGCCCCCCGAGGTCCTGCTCCCAAGGGAGTAACTGCACTAAATGCTCCAACTCCTTGGGATTTCAAAACCTCAGGCCAGGTCTGTATGCGATTCTGTCAGGAGAGGAGGACAGACTCTTAGGCACATCAACGGTTGTGTTTTTGCATTTCTATAATCTATTTTCCATTCTCACGGTCCCTTGGTTTCTTAGCAAAGTTCCCCACTGGTTCAGCTGGGTCACACAGAAAACGGCGGTATTTTCTCCGTCTAGGCTTAGGACCCCACCGAGGGCAAGCTGGGGTCCCACTGGAACAGCACCAGGGGATATGGCAGAGGGCAGTGGGCTCAGAGCAAACTCCTGACGCAGGCTAAGACAGGTAACCAGGACGTTCAGGCACCTGCCCGCCTGGCTGTCTCTCCTACAGAAGGCTATTAAAGTCAGACCAAGCCGGACACCTGAGCAGCCCTTCTCCCCCACACGGGCTGTGGTGGCCGAGCTCCGCACTTACTTGTAAGTGGTTCGAACACCTGCCAGGGGGCTCGGGCGGGATCTTGATTTCATCGGGTGACATGTTCCGGACTCTTTCAGAAAAGGAGGCTGTGAGAGAACAGAGTGAATTCCTGTGGATGTATGTCGGGGGTGGGGGGGGGGGTAGGACGGGGCTAAACATGGTTAGGAAAAGAAAAGGCACATAAGACCTTTTTAGGGAGAGAGAAAGGCTATGAAACAGTACAACAGTGTTCAGAGTGGCCCCTCTGTCATCTGAGTTGAGATCGAATGACCAGAAGGAGTCAGCCATGTGCCGACTCGGGGGAAGAGAAGTTCAGGCAGAGGGGACAGGTGTCAAGAATGCACGCTACCATGTCCCAGCAGTGAACTTTTCAGGAAAGGGTCTGTCCAGGGTGCGCTGGTGAATGTCTAACAACCTGCTGGGGGAGGAAGGGAGGAGGAGCTTTGATCTGCAGCATCTGCCAGTTTCTGGGGTATCAGCTGATGCTCCTGTTGCTGGACCCAGGCACAGGAAGAGAGGGGAGCACCAAAGGCTGACAATGTGAACCAGCTCCAGCTCCCCACTGGCTATGTTCCTACAACACCCTCCCAGAATTCTGGAAGCTCTTGCCCAAGATAGAGGAGAGAGAGTTCAGAGTTCCTCTAGGATTCAAAACATTAAAAACTGCCTTGTGCATAAATGATGCTTTAAAAAGTTACCTGTTGGTTATTAACTTAGTCCTTTAATCAACCCTCCTTTGGTCCACCTCATTCTTGGGAACAAAAGGCCTGATCCTGATGTGAAGAACCACAACTCCCAAGGGATAATTCCCCCGGAGATCTGCCACTGCCCACCCAAGTTGCCTGCTCGCTCTCTGTTCTCTTCCCCATAGCCTCTGGCCACCCTGGACCTGCAGAGTGTGCTCTCGATCACTCAGACAATGCACTGCTTGTTTTAAGATTCTGTCTGTGCTCTTTAAAACATTCTCTCATGAAAAGGACCATACAATGAGCAAACAGCAGGCGGAGTGGGGTGGGGCAGGATGAAGGGAAAGAATGAACAAACCAGCACCAATAACACCCAGCAAGTACTTATTGGGTGCCAGGCCCTGGGCAGACTATTTTTTAGCCCTGAGTAGCTGCCGGGACTGGCTGCTGATAGCCTAGCACAGCCTTTGCCTTCTTCTCTCCCAGCGCTGGGTTAATATTTTCTTAGCAGATAAGGTACTTGGATCTGCACTCAGAGTTTCACTATTACTATAAAGAACTCAGTGCTAAGCAGGGCTGAGGGGATGGCTCCGTGGGCTTTGCCAGTCTCAGTTGCTGCAAAACACGCCTGCACACACTGCAAAGCCCGAGGCTGGGGCAGAGTCCCAGCACACTACACATGCCAACTCCCATGGTCGGCAGCGGGTTCTTACTGGATGTGTCCTGACAACACTAGACCAGCCATTTTGGGTGAGGGAAAGAGGACAGGATGGGGTGACCTATCCTGCTGTGGACCCAGGACATCAGTGCAGCCCAGGAGCGGTTTCCACCAGGGGACTACGTGTTCCTCTTTCCCCGGTCCCTTCTTTCTGTCTCCTGACTCTTGAAGCAATGGCAGAACCCAGATCTGGCTGGAGTTCAAGTCTCGTCCTGGCTTCCCCGTTCTTTTCAGCCCTGGGAGGGGCTGGGGTTCTCAGCCAGAGGCTCAAGCAGGCTGCAGAGGCCAGATGAAAGTGGAATTGGCTGGGGTGAGCTGGTCCTCATTATTTCTGGAAGGCAAAAGCAAGGAGGGCCCGGGCAGGCTTTGGGCAAAAGCGAGGAGGGTGCAGCTCTTCCCTGGGGTGGAGTGAGAGAGAGAGAGAGAGAGAGAGAGAGAGAGTGAGTGTGTGTGTGTGTAGGACGGAGAGACAAAGAATGCCCTTTGGCATTTGCCAGGAAAGCCTTTTGGAAAAACAGGGTGTGACACCATTGCCATAGCAACCTAACCACACTAAGTCTCAAGTGGTATATAGTATGACAGGGAGGGAGAGCCCCTCCTGAGCTCCCAGGTTAGGAACAAAAGAATTCCTATGAAGTAACTGGCAAGTGAAGGGACAGTCAGAAAATTAGGTAAAAAATTTTCCACAGCTTCCAGGAGCAATCCTTCAGTGATTCTCCTTCCTAAGTCCCAGCATGATTTGAAGAAGAAGACATCAAACCCACAAATATGGTCATTTGTGCAGCCACAAAGCCTCAAACCATTTTCCCAGGAAATCCATCGAGAAATGTGTCCAGGCACTTGGGGCAGCTCCAGGTACCGTGGCTGCTCCTGGGTGTGCTGGGGGCATTCTAGAAAGGCAGCCGTACTCAGGATCTGAGAAGTCTACCTCGGTGATTCACCCCTGTGCACACCCAAGCCAGGAAACAGTCATGGTATCCATAGCTGCCAGGTATGAATCTGAGCAGGAGCAGCTCGTCAGTTGGGCTTACGTAATGGTGGGGAGTAAGGAGTGCCTGGGGGGGTACTGTAGGGCTGGGAGCAGGAAGCAGTGGAGTGCTCTCTAGTTCACCAGAGACACGGAGAACCCTACTGGATTACCACCCCAGGCCGCTGTTCCAGGTGTGACCACGGGGCATCAGTGGGCCATCTGGAGGGCATGCGCGCTCAGCTCTGCAAAGCGGCCACAGTGCTGGAGAGACCTATGAGATAGCTTCTCTGCTTTCATTTGCTCCATTAAACCTGGGGCTGTCTACACATATGAAAAGCCTTCCCATTTTGGGGGAACAACCCAAGAGTCCTATCTCCAGAGGTATTAACGAAAGGAGTTGAGTGCAGATAGAGCTAAACTATGACCTCGTCAGTGAGAAATGGTAGGAGGAACCAAGACTATGAGGCTTCAAGGCCTACTGTGGTAAATGGAGAAAGAAACTACGGGGGTAACCCTACAGTGAAAGAATATACTTAGCAGTCAAATGAAACTATGGATACGTCCAGTAACAAGGAAGGATCTCAAACATGGTAAGTGAAAGAAGCCAGACAAAAAACAAGATGGTCATTTCATTTCTATCTATGGTTCTCAACGGGGGGCAATTACCTCCCCCAGCCCCCAAGGGGACGTTTGGCAATGTCTAGAAACATTTTTCCCTGTCACATCTGGTGGGGGAGGGGAGCACTAGGGGCATCCTGAAGACTGAGGATGCTAAAACATGGTGTCAAACACAGGCCAGGCCCCCACGACAAGGAATTCTCCAGCCCAAAATGTCAAGAGTGCCAAGGCTGAGAAATACTGCTCTTTAAGAAATTCTAAAAAAGGCAAAACTATAGTGAAGAAAGTAGATCACTGCTTGCTCGAGGCCAAGGGAGGAAACAGTCTGCAAGGAGAGGGGTATAGGGAATATTTTGGAGTGATGGAAAAGTTTTTTTTTTTAAACATTTATTCATTTTTAAGTTAGCTCTAGGCCCAATGTGGGGCTTGAACTCATGACCCCGAGATCAAGAGTCGCATGCTCCACCAACCGAGCCGGCCGGTACCCCTGGAGTGACAGCAGTGTTTTAGACTGTGATTGTGATGGGGGTTAACACTGACTATGTGTATCTGCCAAAGCTCATCAGATGGCACAAAGTGGCAAGGAGAGAACAGGTGGAAGCTAGGGGAAGAAGAAGTCCGGGTGGAGATGGCTGATGTGGCCCCCCCCCACCACACTGCTTGCCGGACACCGCAGCCTCGAGCAGAGCATCAGGCTCCCGGGCAGGCTGTTTTCGGACCCCACAACCCCACCCCAGTTTCTTGGGAGTATACAGCAGGGACTGGTGAGGCGTGGAGGGAACGGGAGACCAAGGCTCTGATCCATACCTGCCCCTGTGGATTACCCACTTGCAGGAGGCCGTGCTTGGCTTCCTCTGTCTGCAAAGCCAACGGGCGTGTCCCCTGAGGGCTATTTTCTAAGGAGTGAACACTAAGGTCTAGGAAAATTCTGGTTTTTTTATAGGATTTGAAAGACCCACACTCAGGGATAAAGGCAGAATCCCGCTGAGGGTCTGGGCTGGTCATTGTGGTACGTTCCTACCCAAGCCTTCCTCAAAAAACAAATGTAATGGAACAATTTTTAGTTCTTTTAGTTAGGAAAACCAGAACGGGTCCCCACCTCCCATACCCCATGAAAGGATCCTGTCCAAAAACAGGACAGGTCCAAGGGGCTGCAAGCCACAAAGCCTCCATCTGGACGCGCAGGAGTAGCTTCTGTAGGCCGCATTCGTAGCAGCCCTGGATAAGCAGGACCCTTGCTTTGTGAAGGTTAACAGAGCAGGCAGGGAAAGATGGTCACAGTCATCACAGAGAGGGAGGGTCACCCTGTCCGTGAGGTTAGGACAGGCTTTGGAAGAGCTGTTACAAAGTCCACAATCAAAATGACAGAGTTATTTTGGTCCCTGCGGACTTTCTAAAAAGGGACTGCTGGAACGGACTTTCTAAAAAGGATTAGGAGGCTGGGGTTAGCACAGGACTGGGATGACATGTGTGCCATTTTTCAGAAACATAACTGCCCTGCCCTCCCAAGTCACATAGGGTCCTAGACTCTGGGGCTATGAGGCATGTTCCCTCCTGGGTACAGAGCAAAGTGCCAGCAGAGGCCACATTTGCTCAGTGAGTACCCGAATATGCCAGCAAAGTGGGGCGGGGGCGTACAAGGACAGAGGACAGGCCTAGGGCACAAGGGGAACGAGCTCCCAGCTGAAGGAGGCCCTAAATCTATCCTGACAACATTGGCAACCGACCAAAGCCCAATGAAATGCACCATGAATATGACTTTCAAAGAAGAATTGTTCCCTGGGTGTCTTACTCAGACATCTTAGGAAATGCCAAAGGCCCCGAGAGAGCACATGAAGAGAAGGCTCTCAGGAGAACAGCGGCCTTGGCTGAAGCAGAGAGAAGCCCCATGCAGTGGCAGGCCCGGGCATGGCGGGAAGCCAGTTCACTCTGGGCAAGCCTCAGACATCTGCCCCTGAGACTCCCCCTGGGGTACTTACCAACTAATTCCTGAGGATCTCGCTTTTCTACTTCTGGGTTATCCTGCAAAAGAGAAACAAATACAAGGAAGTAAGCCCGGGACTCCTGACCCGCAGTTCCTCTCTTCACTGAAACCACTCAGGATTTTAAGGGAGGAGAAAAGGTGCAAGCAACACAAGGAATCTAAGAGCGAGTCGGTGCTTTGGGGGCCTTCTGGGACCCCTGAACCTCCTAAGCGCCCTCTATCATCAGAGCAGCCAAGATGCTCCACATGCCTGCTTCAGTCTCTCCTCCACAGCCTCCAGCAGGGACCAATATCCACCAATGCCAAGGAGAGCAAACGCCAGCCATCCGTCCCCTGGACACCTGGACTCTGCCCACTGTCTCCCCTGAGGCCTGGCCAGCCACCCCTACCTGGTACTAAGGAAGCAAGAGATGGCAACCTTCTAACATGAGAATCCCAAGACTAAAGCACAAAAGACTATCTGCTCCCAAGAGATTGTTCTCACTTTCAGTTTAAGCAGAAAAGGGAGACTGTATCATCAGGCGGTAGCTCATGGAACCCTGGAGCGGGCATGTACTGGGCCTTTAATAAGTGACTGACCCAGGCCCCAGAAAGGCCCTGGCACACTGGCGGCTTCTCTCCTGGCTCTCCTGGGCTCACCTCTCGACTCTTTACATTGGCTTTATCTCTCTCCAAAGAAAAAGCTTTCTCTGATCCTTAGCGCAAACTTCCGCCCTACAACGCCTACTTCTGCAGGTCCTTCAGGGCTGGCCGAGTGCAGAAACCTAAGAGCAAAGGTTTCTTATCAGACGGTTTTCTGGACTCGCTGTGTATTTCACTGCTCAGAGTAAGTGCTTCATCCAAATCCAAACCACATCCACCTGGAGAAGGCTACGGTCCCAGCCCCCGTCGCAAGCCTGGGCACAGGAGGTGAGGGGGGTGGGGGGGTGGAGGTGGGAAGGCCTTCCCTTGCTTGCATTGTCCCAAATGTCCACTGGCAACAACACACCTGTCTTCCCCATCTCGGGGGGAACCCGGCCCCTCACACACATTCCGATCAGGGCTCTCAAGTGCCACCATGTGCTAAGGATCAAAGTGGCAGAAGCTGGGCTCACAGGTAGCTACTGGGTCTCCTTTCTTTTCCCTTTGGTGGGGGGACAGAGGGAGGAGACAAGACAGTAACAACTCTGAACAAAATGGGCACACGGCCACAGCTGCAGAGTTCTGCATACTCCACTTACTGAAGAAATGTTACACCAAGTGACGCTTCAGAAAGGAAGGTGCCAGGAGGCCACCAAAATCCGCCCATGCTATGGCTCCCTGCCAAGAGCAGAGTGGTAGTTCTTAACCCCCTTCCCCAAAAAGTCCCTCCTGATTCTGGGACAGGCCCAAACCCCTCACCCTTCTGAACACTGCAGCTATTCATTTGACCTGAACGGGCCTAACGTCCAGGCCAGGCTGCTTAGCAACCTGTCTCCCCCAGCCACCCGCCCCCTGCCAATCAGGTGGGCAAAGAGGAGGCAGGCCTGTGCTAGGGAACAGAGGGGTTGGGAGGTGTGCCTGGAGGACTGCCATGCCAAATTCAGGTTGGTCATCACTCAGCTGCTCTACAGAGAGTGCCCGTCTCCAGAGGCTCCACAACAATCTCTTTGTAGCAGTGACTCCTGAGGAACCAGTGTTAAAGAGCGTGGCAGCAACAAAACCTGGGCCTGTAAAAGGTCCTTAAATTTTCTCTCTAGGGGACAGCTTTCTGGGTGCTAACTGTGGGAAAACATCAGTTGGGTACATCCTATCTCCCCTCCCCCAACCAGTTGGCGGGTATTCCAAGGACTGACCGTTAACCATTCAAAGGCCCCCTGGGGGCTCCTTCCCAAAGCACTGCAGGGCACCAGCCCCTCAGCTGGCCCGAGGAAGAAGGCAAGACAGCCATGTGGAATTCCACCGGGTCTACTACTCCAGAGGCACAGGAAGTTAGTCACCAAACACAGTGTCTCTTCTAAAGGGAAAATACTTGTTCACCTGAGGGCTCCCTGGGCAGGGCTAAGGGCTGTGAGCCACCCGGGGGCCTCCAGCAGCCTGTGCCCCAGCGATGGGAGGGGTCGGGGTGGGAGGGGCGGGGATTCCTGAATTTCACAAGGTCCTTGCCTGGCTTAGTTGAGGATGTTTAGTCACATCTCAGGAAGAAAGGCAATGTTGGGGCAAAATCACCAACAGGAAGGTGTTCCCCCTTCTTTCAGTCTTTCCTTTTTTGGCTTGGTTACTCATTCTTTCAAATTAATCTTTCCGCACAAACACAAAAAGGGATAAAATTGAGAGTTGTTTTCAATTTGCCAACTGGTCTACTCTTTGCTTTTTTATTCTTATAGCAATGTGTGTGCGCACACATGCACATACATGGGTGGGGTGTGTCCAGGGTGTACCTGGAGCCCCATGGAACCATGGACTCCTATTCAAACCCAAACCCAACATCCCCAGGAACATCCCCTCCCCTGCAGAGGACTTCAGCTCCATGATCCCAACAAGCAAAGTGCTAACCTATGAACCATGGACCCAACTCAAAGTGCAAGAAGATTCCTTTGCCTTAATAGAATTCTATAAACTGAAAATATAAATGAGCCACCATGGACTGGGAGCCATATAGTTTTGCTCAAAGTTCTCCTGGAAAGACTATGGAATCTGTGGTTGTTCAGATCTCTCCTCCGTGTCACAGCCACCCATGGGACGCCTAGGCCCCGACAATGAAACAATGGGAATCTGTGCTCCTGGTGGCCACATCTTGTTAGGTTTTAGAATGTAATTCTTCTGTCCTCTGATGTGAATAAGCTGGGCTGTGAGCCTGCTGAGCTCCTGGCCAGGATGTCCCCAAAGAAGGCCAACAAGCCAGGTTCTTTTGGACCCAAAAGCAGTTTAACCCTACATCCTGCCCTGAGCACAAGGACGCTCAGTTATACCCCACACAGAAGGGCCTAGAGCCAAACACCAGTGTTCTTCAAAGGGGGATGAGCCCAGAACTTCAAACAATGCTGAAGAACCATTAGCAAGGAAGGAGAGCTGGGGGGTCTGCTGAGATCACGGAGGATGGCTGTCAAATACCCCAAAGATGCTTTTTGGGACCATTTACCCTCAACTGTCCAGCAAGGTAAATTTCATTCAATAAAAGCAGCCTCAGGGGAAGACAGTCCTGGGGGCGGAGGTGGTCCACACTCAAGAAGAAGACCTAGAGAGACACCCTCCTACCAGTCATGCCTCAGATACCAGGAATTCAGTACAAAATGAACCAAGCATCCATGATAGTTATTTTGGAAGGCAGCCATAAAAAACATCGGGTAAGTATTTAATATGACACAGCTAAGGAGAGAGAGACGAAGATTCACATGATTAAACTCCCAGTCGTTCAACACAATGGTTATAAACCCTCCATAGGTTCTCTCTGTGCCCTTAAGGAGGCCAGAAGGCAGCAGTTAGGAGGATACAAGTAAAAAGCAAAAAGAAACCACTGTTCCTTTTCTTCTGCCAAGGTGGTGTTTTGAAATGCGCAGGGGGTCCCTGTCTTGACGTGTATGAATCCATCCCCTTGGCCTCCAGGGGGATATTCTCAGTTGGTCAACGTCATGAACTCAGCCAGGAGATCTATGTACCAGACAGGTGTCTGAGTCAGCCGGGAGGCACGGAACCCACAGCCCAGAGACTGGGACAGACTGGATGCACGGCCCTCAGATGCAGCAGGCCGAGGGCTTCCCCCGCACAGTTCACTAGGAAGGTGAAAACAAAGCATCTCACTTAGCAGCTCCGAGAAGGAAAGACCAGGTAAACCACTTCAGCTGTCTAGTTCAAGTCTACCTAAGACACAAAGAAAAACAAAACAAATGCACAGCTTCTGAAGAAGCCAAGTGAGAACACGGGAAAGGCAGGAGAGGGAGTGCTGAGCTGGCCAAAGACACAAACTGAAGCAAGGCCTCCCCTCCTGGCTGTCGGCACTCCTCTAACCTCCCCAGGCTCCCCCTGAGCCTGAAGCCTCAGCGACCAGGGCACCAGGGCACGAAGTGGCAGAGGCAGACCAGGGGGTGGCCCTGATGAACAGTGATCTGAACCTGCCCAATTCTGGTTCCTTAATCAGTTGTGTCCGAGACCCGTAAGAATGCAGCAGCCACAACAGGGACCTCGTTCTCAGGGACTGCAGAACCTGGAATGTGGTTCTCCCTGCAGAGAATACAAAAAAGTCCAGACACTCAGAAACTATGACTGGAGCAGAGTAAGGAAGTAGAAACAATATGGCTCCATGACGTGGGATAAGCTGCTGGGAGATTTGAGCTGGGAGGATTTGCTCAGCAGAGAAGTACCAGATCCTGGTCAAGAGAATGGAGGTTTATTTAGAGCCAACAATACTTCATCGATCCTTCCCGGAGCCAACCCCACAAAGCATGCTCAAAGGTCCGGCGTCCGACTAGAGACAGGGCAATGTAGCCTCCAGCAGCTGGATTCTGCCAAATCTACAAACGCTGCTTCTTTGCCCCAGCTTTAGGGAGCATTAGGCACAGAGAAAGTACTCTGAACAGAGGGCAGAGGGCAGCCTCTTCCCGCTGCTGGGGGAAAAATGCTACACATTGTACGTTTTCTGTTAGATGACTGACGTAATCCTGCTTCTTAAAAGTAGGTGGCAGCTGGGGAGGCAGACTGGTAAAACAATGCCTTCCAAATCTTCGATTCTCTCAGACCTGGGACTGGCCGAGTAGTTATTAAGTCCTGGTGATAGCTCACTTAGAAATGATTGCTCACTGTGGCCCGAGGCCCTGCGGACTCCGTGCAGGTCATGTCAGCCCCCTTCTCCCAGCACAGAGCCGCACCAGGGCCCGGAGAGAACTTGCTCCCTGGAACACATCCTCCCCACTCTTGCTGAAAGTAAGTCTCTTTGAGACCTCAGTCCTCAGCTCAAGGAAGTCGTCTTCTGGCCCACCCCCACCCAGCTGATGAGGATGCTTGCTCTGTTCTGGGCCCTCACTGTCTTAGTTACCACTGTGTTCCTAGCACTTGCAGGTTCATGCCCTGCCCACAACAGGTACT